CATTTATTCAGTCATTTGTCCTTAAAGGAATCTTCCACGGAAAAAGCTCCGCCCTCATTACCACAGAAAACGATACCTTAAAGGAATCTTCCACGGAAAGAGTGATCATTTTGTCTTGTGTGTAGGATTAGTATTATCGAAACTAACGCTTATGTTCCGTTCTTTTTGCTATGCTCATGAGGCTAGGGGCCTAAGGGGTATCGTTTTTCTGTGGTAATGGAGGCGGAGCTTTTTCCGCGGAAGATTCCTTTAACAGCTGGTTAACTTAGTACCCCTACTTTTACGGCCAAGGGGCAAAGCATAAGCGTACCCTCTGCCTTCAATGTTAGCCATGAATCACAGAGTCACAAATCAAATCGGCCTGATCTCGTTCATGGTATCTGTATACTCGCCGTTTCAGCAACATTTCCCCTGGAATCGGCTACCAAAGGAGTTACGGGTGAAAATTCTTCAGAATCTCTCACGAAGTGATCTTGACAAATGCAGATTGCTGAATCGGGAGACATCCGAGCTTGTTCGGTCCAATGAACGATGGATGAAGAGAAGGCAGATTGAATACTTGGTAATGCCAATAGATAGTTAGCGCCACGAATTTCAAGAATTCGTCAGGGATCTTATTTTTTCTACAACTGTTTAGCTGATTCAGAAATGTCTTCCAATGGAACGATCTTGTCCTGATTCCAGAGCATTGGATGCACGTTTCGTAGGCGTATTGTATATTGAAGAAGGAGAACTCAAGTCGGTGGTAAGTTATGCTTGAAAGACAAATTAAGCTATAGGATCTGTGAATCAGAAATATGGGACCCAGGGACAGTGAAGAAAGATGCAAAAGAAACCGCTAAAAATACGCTGTATGAAGCCCCCACCGCGCTATCGCAATATATGGGGGTATCCTGTAGGACTGAGCGTACGAGGGGGCAGGAATTCCGGGGAAAATGAAAATGGTTGACGCGTTCTGGAATAGGTTCAATACCCTTTCAACAAAAAGAAGTTTTCACGCGATTTTTATGCACCGCCACCGCAATGTCCCCGTATTTTGCGATACGCCCCCCACTTCTACTTGGTTCAGTGAGTTGCGAACACAGGACGACTGGGGTATGAGAGAGGTCAGATGTGAAAGACGCAGTCGGAAGCGGCGCTGCAAGCAGATGGCGGTGAGAATAACATTTTCGAGACCTAATGTTCCAAGTACCTGGTACGCCATTTGTGCGCCGTGTGGACAAATAGTGCGTCTTTACGGTAAGATCAGGTTTTGGAGTCGCTGGCACGAATTTCTTTTTAAATTCATGTATGCGTTAAAAGACAACAAGATTAAGGTTTTAGGCGGACAAATTCTTTGTGGTACCACAGCGCGGTTCACGAAAGTCAGCAGATGTCCTGTACTCACGGCTTAAGCCCAAGCAATTGCTTGAGGCCTGCAGGTCGGCGTTCACGCTTCCAGTGATTCTGCTCGCAAACGGTGAATGTCTGCGCACTCTCGTCGTTCCCTAGCAATCTCTCCTTGCGCTCAACCTCCTCAATCCACAGCAAAAAAAAAGTGTCAGACCCTCGACATTGACGATTTCGACGGATTCTTTGCTTTTTTCTTTGCTCCTGGTCCACTTCTTCCCAATGTCTTTTTTTTAACTTTCTTAAGCGAGAAACGTAAGTTTTACCTGAGACATGCCTGAGCCTCCTTGGGGGACATTCGTGAAGCTCTAACCTTGCCGCATTTTAGCGGAATATTCGGAGCAAGGATTGCAATATAGCAGGATAAAGCATTGCCGTGGATCATCCCTTCGGGCGGGTGCGTAGCTTTAGTAATTTGTACATTTGTAGTGGCGTTTGAATGCGATGTGGCCTATACAATGACTTGCGGGGGCCAGCCGATGTACAAGTCAGTGTTTTTATCCTCCCAGACAAGTCTGGTACCAATTAACCGACCCCGGAAGGGATGGAAGGCTTGGTTGGCCCGGGCGACTCACGACCCAGGATTTGATCCCCGGACCGCTCGCGTGGTAAGCGTGCCACTTGCCACTACACCACTTCCGCCCACTCGAGCAAAGATGCATAGGAAGATTCTATGGCGAGCAAAGAGAATTTGCTTGTTTTTCTGTAGGTCAGGCATTTGAAGACGTTCACCATGGTTCCGAGTTACCTTTCGAGGCTGCTTAAAAAGTCCAACGTTCATCATCTGGAGATCGCCAAGGTCGGTTGATTGTTCTTTCAATGTTCTATGAAGAAATAATCAAAAAAACGAACACAAAAAAACTCTAAAGTATACTTCTAGGAGGCACAGAGTAGATGGCCGCGAAAATGGCTTGAATTTGGAGCGGAGAGCATATGTTAGAAGCAGGGTGAAATAACGCGTCAGAGGGTAAACCTTGGTATAGCTCATGCTACTTTGTGGGAATAAGTGGCGGAGGGAGTGAACTCTGGCGAGGAGAGTGTGGACACGAATGGAAATACCGACGAGTCCTTCGATGAAGTTACTAGACCGGCTTCTCCCCGGATGAAGGACACTGAAAAGAACCGTGTTGACCACAGCTTCTATCCAATCGTTTCCCTGGAATAGACGAGTTTTTGAAACTCCCACCTGGCCATTGCACTCACTGCCTTCAAAATTTGGTTCAGTAGACCGAAAAACAATGAGTTTTCCTAAAATTAGAACAATAATTCCAAGTAAACTTCAGGGACCTTGGACGGACAGTCACCTGTCGTCGATTTTGTCGAGTCTGCTGGAGACGGATTGCCATGTGCATAGGCTAATGGTAACGAAGGCATCAATGGCTACTGTGACGTCTTCCATGCTTCTTCTATTCCTTCAAGAACTCGATCCCATAGAAATATGCTTCTCCCAAGTCCGGGACTGTTCGCGGGACAATTTCAGCCCGGAGGTGCTCACTTCATTGTAACAAGGCAACAGTTTTTCTGTCACCTGTTTGCAAGGTGAACTTATCCCCATAGATGACGAGATCCTAGCCAAGCTCACTGCCAGCACTTTCGTCATTGGCGCTCCGAATATGATCACCGTGGACGGTCTGGTGTCATTCATCAAGGTAACTTAGCATTTGGTTTGCTTCAGAACAAGACGATAAAAATTGGCATATATTCAGGATATGGCAAGCGGGAAGAGAAATGTGAGCCGTGGAAGAATTTTCACAGGCTTTTCTCTAGGCGGCGTAACATTACCACAACTGGAAAATGCAGTGTAACTGTGATAATGGGAGGATACGGTATTGAGATCTCAACAGAAAAAAAGCAGCATGAATAGACGGTGAAACTCCAATACGGGGGGGGGGGCACTTTATTGCGCTCTACAACACTAATCCATTTAAATTACCTTTGTTAAGACTGGTGTATTGGTGGAAGGCGATTCCTGGGTGCTCGATTCGGCTGTTCGGTGCATGGAGATATGGCACGAACTAGCATGAGCATTTTCTTATGGCCGCTAGGTTAGGGAGAGAGCCGGGTGGCACAATCAAATATCAAAATGCTACAGGATGTGACGAAGTGTTTAAAGGAGGATTGCACGGAAAGAACGAAGGTCGAAGAAGGGAGAAATCGCCTAGTGGGGAGAGCGGTGAATCTCTTGAGGGTGCGGACAGACACGCAATCGGCATCGAAAGATTTGACCTCTGAGATCTAGCATGGCTCAAAGTTGGCGAGTTCGGCGATCTCCGCCCACCGATCGTCTGATCACTCGCCGTAGTACAATAGGTGGCGAGTGATTAGATAGCTGAGAGAGCGTAGGGTTGAAGAGGGCAAAGCGATGAGAGTCCCATCAATGCTCAAATCAACGGACAAGGAAGGGGTCCCATTTCTCCGGTTCTGGGGCCGTTTTTCGTTGGTTTCGCTTTCTTTCTGGTACTACTCACCATCTACCTCAATTTGGAATGGGTTGCTTTTCCATCGTAAATTCGTCCTTTAATGATTGGCGGCATGATGCCTGTAGCAGTTAAAAGTTACAAAGGAAGCGCTCCCTAGCACGACAGGATAAGATAGCGGGAGCCCCTCAATCTGTGTCTAACAGCGTATTTGACGACATATGAGCACCTCCTGCAGAAGTGTTATCCTCAAGTAGCGTTTCTGAGAATCGGAGAATCCGTGAATAGGAAAAGACAAGAACTCGGTGAATGGATGATTGAAAATCTGAGAACTATAGCGTCGGCGATCAATTTGGCCATACCCTTTGTATTCATCGTCAGGTGCGTCTGCAGTGCAGACCTAACAACACAAATGACGATTTCCCTCGAATGTGATGTATTTCTGCTAACAAAGTGATTGGTCGATCAAATTTGTATTATAATTTTTTATTTCACCAGCTATTTTTTTATCAAGAATCATTTATCAATAAAAAATAATTGTCAAATTTTTGTGGAAGCCGTCGCCACTTATGTTGGACTGCACTGCAGACGCACCTTGTTTTTCGATGCAAGGCTCCTCTTCGAACAATGTGAAAATCGATGCGCATAATGAATTTTTCGGCGGATTTTCTCCGATTCTCACATATCCAATTCGAAAACCATATTCCAAGGGGTGGAATGCGTCTTATTCAATCGGAAAGGCTTATTGCAAAAAGCTTGGACCCGGTTTTTTCGAAAACTAGACGACTAAAAATGCAGGTCAGCGGAGGGCATTATGATCTTTTCTCTAGTTTGTATGGGGGACTGTTTTCGTGATAGCTGTTTTCGTAGTGAGAAGATGCTCACTAATTCGCCTTATTTTTTACTGCATAGTGAGAGTTGTGGTGGGTTTGGACGATATTCTTATTTTGTATTTTAAGGGCAGGGCAAATACGGAGGCACGTGGAGGGTAGGGAGATTTGATGACACCACTGGACGTTTTGAATGGACTAAACCTCTTGGCGTCTGCGGAATCTGACGGTACCACTTCTCAATGGCGTCATCAATACCGCTAACCCACCCCTCGTCCATCGTGTTCGCTGCCTTTAAGTTTACCTTATGTAATATGCGCATTCTGCTTTTCTGAAACAGTCATATCCAAATTATTGAGTAAATAAACTTTTTTCGGCGGTAGTATGCTCTTCTTGTTCAGCTTTGTGGGTTGGATGGAATGTTTACACGCGGAAGAAGGAAAATCGAAAACGAGAAGAATAGTTCGGGATACGTATGTCCATCGATGTGTTCTTGTCATTGTAAAGTGACTTTTTATCATGTAAATATTATTGCGCTAGCTCTTTTTATGAACATGTATGCGAAATAATAGCGTTGACCGTCGCCCAAAATAATGAAAAGCTTTCAGGAAATCGTCTAAAGTTCAGTGGAACCATTGTGACTAGCAGGCTAACATTAGAGGGTCCGAGAAATTTTGAGTTTTTTAATAAGTTGAATTGGAGAGAAGCGCCCAGCTCGTGCTCCTTTAGATCCCCTACAGCCCTGACCCGTCCGTCTTCAAACTGCCATTCGCAGCTGATTTATTTTCTAGGCTTTTCTGTGTGTTTCTTACATCTCAGTGAAGATCGGATTATCCACACTAAGCAAATTAAGGGTTGATTCTTGACGTCTTATGCGGCGCGTAAATGTCAAAGACCTACCTCCGATGAGGTATTCTGTCCCAACCGCCAGTTCTAGCCCACAAGCAGCCGACTGAAATCTGGTGGAGATTTGAGCTGGCAGCTCCGTAATATCTGCAGGCTTCTGAAATTTGGTGAAAGTAAGTTAAGTTCTTCTGTGAATATTAAATATTCAAATGCAAAAAGAGCAGAAAGTAAAAAAAATTGGCAGTAAACTTCGTAGGGTGCCCTTAAGGAACGTTTTCACAATAGAATACCACTAAAGACACAACCTAAGCAGAAGTCGTGTGAAAAGTCCCCTTCGGTCTGTATGATAGATCCTTATGGTTACGAAAATTTCGGATGTGGCATTCCCAACTTGGGATTGCCTAACAAGGGGCTAGGGCCTCGGTCAACCCCGGCCTTGGCTCGCACTGTTCGACTGAGGGGGTCGCATTTGGGATTTTGAGAAGGGGGATCGCATCTGGGGTTGAGCAAGGTAAACTACCTTCAGGAAAAGTGCGAACTGGGATCTTGTTTCTGGAAGTTGAAGGGATGTAGATGTGGAGGAGGGGGGGGGGTCGGTTTCGAAAAGAAAAGTGGTGCAGAGTGGGATTCAGAATACAGAAACAGCCGTGATTGCGAGGGTGATAGTCGGGGAGAGAGGGTCGTATTGTGGGAGTGTGTAGTTGCGGAGGTCGCATTGAGGGTCCTGTAAAGAGGGTCGCAAAATTTCCGGAAAAGGGCCAACGCAACGGTTGACCATGCTCGCAAAGAAAGCTTCACTCGCTTCAAGTTCTTCTGTCTGCAGCAGCTGCTGTCTGGAGCTCTCTTATCTACTGCGCTCTCTCACTTCACACTCTCCTCTTCGCGCTCAATCTCTCAATCTCTGTCGTCCCACTTTGCCCCCACCCTTTCATATTCGAGCGCAAGAACCACATCAGATGAACCCTGGGGTACGCCTATAAGTCATCTTCATAGAACTTACTCTATAAACATGAATGTGTTTGGACGTCATACACGATATTTTGAACGTCAGGAGAGTTGAGCTTCATCAGTACCTGCAGGTGCACGCTCACGATTGGGAAACTGAAAATATGTTTCTTATGGTGCCACTAACCGATCAAGTTATCAAAAAGGCGGAATTTAAGTAATAACTTCGTATAATGTATTTATACGAAGTTATTATTATTAAAAAGGGCGGAAGTGGTGTAGTGACAAGTGGCACGCTTCACCACGCGAGCGGTCCGGGATCAAATCCTGGGTCGTGAGTCGCCCGGGCCAACCAAGCCTTCCATCCCTCCGGGGTCGGTTAATTGGTACCAGACTTGTCTGGGAGGATAAAAACACTGACTTGACATCGGCTGGCCCCGCAAGTCATTGTATAGGCCACATCGCATTCAAATGCCACTGCGAATGTACAAATGGAAGTAGAATGCGTGCCGCATCCCAAAAGGGATTGATCAACGGCAAATGCTTTTATCCTTTATCCTTTAATTAAAAAAGTTCAATTTAGTAGCGAACCTGAAGATTCTCTTTAGTTTGCTAATAAGCTAGGCAGGGTCGACCGTCCATCCGGTCAATCCAGCGATTCAGGAGGGGGTCGACACCCCCCCCCCCTCATCCAAGTGTTTTAGTAGGAAGTCGTGACCTCAAGAGGGAGGTCATATATAAAATTTTGAAATCGACCGAACGTTGACCCTAACTTGAATGCCTTGACTGTGCCACACTCGGTGTGAATATTTTCTTAGTCAAGTAGATTCTTATTTTACCGATATGTCGATGCGAGAGGTAAGAAGCAGATTCGGTTTCTTCCAATCGTCGAATATGTGACGCTACTATGGACGCGAGGGGCGACGCCATCCGAAACTACGCTAGCTAAGATATGGGAATTTTCAAACCTAGAACAACTTGGAGTCGTTGCGGCGTTCCCGTACTTCTTAAAGTTAGAATTGAAATCCGGTTGTGTCGTATTATGGGCGTTTTTTGCCAGATGGTGATGCCGTGGTGATTTGTTGAGGGACGTCAGTCGGGCTGTTGCACGCTTGCTCTCTCCCTTTTCTCACAGACGAAACTTTGTTGAAAGCGTGGGGTGGCCGCTTGAAAAGGAGCCATTTGATTTTACTTCTTACTTGTAAAAGCGTCTCCATTTGTTTATGACCCAACGCTGTTCTTTCCCTACGAATCCTACGCAAACCCTACGTAGTCCGTTTTGCTGGAAGTCGTATTTTGTGAAAGAAATTTCCTAAGATAATCGTGGCCATTTTTCGCCTCACCGAATTCAGCAGAACAAAACGAGTCCTTGAGCGATAAAGATGCACATGTGCAGGTTTCGCAATTGGCCATACATGCCGAAAGTGCCACAAATAACACGAATTGCCCTCCATGTCTGAAATGAAACGTAAGCCAGCGTTCAGAGGGCGATCGACATGCGAGGTGACCCTCTTGTCCGCCCATCGAGCGATTAGTTGATCGCCTACTCGCTCACTATTGTGTATATCGTAGCGCTCGCATTCGGCAAAAACGTTTAAAGCAAAACCCAAAAGTAAAGCAAAGCATAAAACTGATCTAGTGATGTTCTTGTCATCTTTTTTTGCTTTCGTTCCATTTCGCAAGAAATTACCAGGTTTAGAAATCAAAAAAGGGTACTGAGCCCGTTCTTAGAATCCTCATTATTCTCAAATTGTACGACGTGAATATGATTTGAAATTAAGGGACGACCGGAGTAAGGTTCGATGATGACGATGTATTCCGAAAAACTCCTATTTTGGCAGCTTTTTTCTCTATATAGATTTTCGCCACCTTGATTCTCCTGACGCAATGACTGTGCGATTCGCCAACTCTGGACGCTGCCTAATCGGATATGTGATTCCGAGTTCGGCTGCGTTGAGGATTACCGGAAAGGGATAAGGACAGAACGAAACTTGATACATAAAAATCTTTAAAAATATTATCTTCTACGGAATGTTCTATTGCTAAGAGTTCTACAGGAGACGCTGATCAATGAGGAAGCCCAATGAAATTTCAGATAGTAGGAGGAAGAAGCGTATGAAGGCAGGACGCGTTCCTGCCTGGAGATTAGCAATGAAATACTACACTGAATTACTATACCATAACGAAAACCATACTAATCATAACAACTTTATTATGTATTCAGTAAAGTGGATTACAGAACCCCGTACTATCACAAACAAATAATAAAACAGGTATGATTATTTAACACATAGAAAAGGGATTTCTCAACGCTCACATGTCACTGTGACACCTAAACGGTACTGCTGCTTCACACTTGATTATTGGCTTGAACTTATAATGGGCGGGTCCTGCTTGAACCATTCGAATTTCCCAATTTGTTCATTGGCTCCCATAGATTTCGAGATCTCCAAATAAAAAAGACTTGGGGACCTGTAACAGAACGGGAACGTTTTTTCCTTGCTTTTTTTTTTCCTTTCTTTTGGGCGGAAGTGGTGTAGTGGCAAGTGGCACGCTTACCACGCGAGCGGTCCGGGGATCAAATCCTGGGTCGTGAGTCGCCCGGGCCAACCAAGCCTTCCATCCCTCCGGGGTCGGTTAATTGGTACCAGACTTGTCTGGGAGGATAAAAACACTGACTTGTACATCGGCTGGCCCCCGCAAGTCATTGTATAGGCCACATCGCATTCAAACGCCACTACGAATGTACAAATGGAAGTAGAATGCGTGCCGCATCCCAAAAAGGGATTGATCAAATGGCTTATAGCCTTATCCTCTTATCCTTTTGTGTACCCTCAAATGACTAATAGTTTTGTATGAGTAATGTATGGTTTCGTTTCGGTCTATATGGATTCTTCACCATCATATGTGCTCATCATATAGCCTACTATTTTCGGAAGGCTATTTTTACGCCCGCGAGGTTTAGTTGATCCGTGCAGTAGATTTGACCCGCTGTACTCCCGCGTGATTGCCACTTTTACATGGAATCAAATGCCCTGCAGATGATCCCGTTACTTACCTTGGCTCAAGGTCAAGCATAACCCAACATAATCCCTCTCTTGCCATGTATATCTATTAGCGGCTTTTTCCTAGCATAGACAAATTTCTAAAGCATTCATTCCACAAGCATATAAAGAAGGGGGGAAGCACATTCATTCCACAAGCATATAGAGAAGGGGGGGCAACACATTCGACGGTTGATCAGTCCTTCTCGAGCCACGCATTTGGCTTTCATTCAATATCCATAGAATGGAATCAGGAGGAATGAACGGCTTGCTTCCACACGCTCCTCTTAAAACCAATGCACTTCATATTCATGCTGTTCGATACTGCGAACACTTCCACGTTGTCACAGTCACTACTACTTCTGATGATAACTTCGAATTCCGTCAAAAATTTTTTAAATATAAAATAAAATATCTGATCGCTTTAGAGATGAGAGCAGTACTCATTTTGGTTGCGTGTATCGTCGCATCCGAAGCTTGCACGTGCTTTCCATTCCCATCCTTGAGGGACGCCTTCTGCTACTCAAGCTTCGGTAAGTGACACGCTTCTTGGAGGAAACATTTTTTTAATCCTCTCTACCATTCCATTGTTGCGGTCAACTGGTTTGCTAAACACAACCCACCAAGGGCGCAGCTTTTCAGTGGCACATGTGAGAGCGGCAGGAAGAATAAACGACACTGACTCTCAGACGGTTCGGTATAACGTCGTGTATCTCGAAACTTATAGGGTATGGTTCACCTTGAATTCTTTTTTCAACATACAATAATAGAAGTTGAATGTCGAGTGCTGAAGGTGTAGAGCAATCCATTATCTTTTGTTGAGAGAAGATGAGCGGTGTCGAAATGACACCATAGCCATGCGCAGTTCGAGGTTTGAACTCACATCAAGTATTGTTCTAATCGTCCGTCACATCGATCCATAGGATCACTGGCAAGCTGCAATATCTTCTCTAATTGATCTAAGCACAGGCTTAAGTATACAATACGTCAGTTGCCCTCGAAAGGCATTGCACTAATCCTGAACCCAAAAAATCCAGTCAATATCGGACAGGTGATTTAAAAAAAACTTCGTTAAAATTCATGATGAAGTGTTTGAAGATTTCTTCATTCTTAAACGAAACCGCTACCAGTTGACCAACTCCGTGAAAACGGTAGATTTTGAGGCACTTGGATACATCGAAATCTGTCCAGACGGATCAGCCGATTTTAAGGTGAATTCCCTGCTTCGAGCTTTTGCGCTACATTCTCTTATTTGCCCTCTCAAGCGCATTTTTACTTTAGCGATCCTCCGAAAAAAAAGGCATTAAATTTCTTAGAAAGTACCACTCATATTGTTTGAGCGTCTCCGCCATAGCGTATGGGCCAATAAGATGGTAAAGTCAATGAGAGATGGACGCTATACCTTGCTTGAAGAGATTTGCTTGGACTAGCTTGTCATGTTTGATCCTCTAATCATGTGCATGAGAGCGCCTTCCCCACTTCTCAGTAAAAATCTGCTTACAGAATCAGACAGAATCGAGACAACTACCAACTGAGATCGTCACCGGTTCAACTTCGGCGCTCTGTGGAATAGAACTCAGAATTGGTACCGAGTACCTCATTGGAGGTAAGAACACCAATAAATTACCCAATGCTGACCCCGCTGCACTGTGGACAAAAGGATAGTTGTGTTTGATTTATTCAGCATTTTCTAAAATACAAAGTCATCATCAAACTTTCCGAGCACAGGCTCATGTTTT